GGGGAAACAACAGAGGTGCCTTTGCTGATTGTTAAGTCAGAGTAGACAATCTTTCCCCGAAGGAAAAGCAGTTCAGTCTTGTCAAGGTTGAGCTTGAGGTGGTGAGCAGACATCCACGGAGAGATGTCCGCTAGAGAAGCAGAGATGCGTGCGACGACCTGGGTCTCTGAGCGGGGAAAGGACAGAATTAATTGGGTGTCGTCAGCATAGCAGTAGTATGAAAAACCATGCGGGCTAATGACAGATCCGAGCGAGTTTGTGTACAGGGAGAAGAGGAGGGGACCAAGAACAGAGCCTTGAGGGACCCCTGTAGTTAATTGACAAGGGTCGGACTTGGAGCCTTGTTTTAGAAAGGAACGGGAGGAGAGAGACAGGCCTGTAGTTTATAACATCGGACGGGTTGAGAGTGGGTTCTTTAGGAGAGGGTTTACTCTTGCCTTCTTGAGAGTGTTTGGAAAGTGACCAGAAGTTAGAGAAGTGTTGATGAAATGGGTGAGAAACGGTACAATATCAGGAGCGATAGTCTGAAGGAGCTTTGAGGGGATAGGGTCCAGAGGACAGGTGGTAGGAGGTAATGAGGGTAAGAACCTCACTTGGAGAGAGAGGGGAAAAGGAGGTCAGTGTGACGGTGAACTGTGAGTCTGGTGACCCAGCAGTGAGTAAAGGTGAGTCAGAAAAAGAAGAGCGAATATCATCAACCTTTTTTTCAAAGTAGTTAACAAAGTCGCTTGACAGAAGGGAGGAGGGGGAAGGGGCTTTGGGGGGTTCTAAGAGGGTGGAAAAGATGGAAAATAGTTTTTTGGGATTGGAATAGGAAGATTGGATCTTATCTTGAAAGAAAGTACTTTTTGCCTGAGAGATCGAAGCAGAGAAAGAGGAGATGGTGTTTGGATTTCCACCATTTCCGCTCAGCTGCCCGAAGGATGGTTCTATTAGCACTCAAATAAAGGTGTGCCTTTACCTCACGGAGCTGAGGTTATTTGAGCTGTCCTCCACCTGGTTGCAGAAAAAGCTCCTTATATCCGTTAGCATAGCTAGCTAACCAGATGCTAACAGCAACAATCCCCGGTACCGGTGCACTCTCTCTCTTTCTCTTGCTCACTCACACACAATGCGCTCGTGCTACACACAGAGAGCCGAGCTTGTATGACACGCAGAGACCCAGGAGTAGTTGTACTGTATTGTAGCATATTATTTTCGATGACAGATGAGCAGATCGCCACTGGGCTTTCAACTAAAGCAGGGGTAGGGAACCTTTTTCCTCTCAATGGCCATTTCAATTTTTACAACATCCTCCTAGGGCTGTACACATTATTCAACTGAACTGCTGCTAAAAAAAACTAAAATCACAGCCCATTCATTTTGCCTTTCTTTGCACCAGATTGAAGCATTTTACTTTAAAATGTTCAAACAAATCTTCCCGGGGAGCATACCCCCGGACCCCCCTAGAGGATGTGATGTCCACCCCCCAAATCAAACATGTTAATACAATACTGAATACATATGAAGCCTTTTTGATGTATATACCTATGTCAATATGTTTCTGTTTTTGTGGTGTATTTTTCTTTTGTAGAGATTTTTCATTTAGTCTTTATATACTGTGTATTCCTTGGATACTCTATTGATATTTATCTTTTCTACTGTACGATTCTCTGGCTGGGGGGGGGGGGGGGGGGGCTAACATTTTGCCTAGGGCATTAAATTGGCTAGAACCGGCCCTGGATGTATAAAACATGTTGTTTCCACAGACAGAGAGCAGAGTCTCCAGTCCCAAGCTGTCTGTCTCTGAAGAGTGACCGGTCTATGTTTCAACCTCCAGTCTTCAGTAATGAACCTGGACCCTCAGACACAAAGTAAGAGTCTGTTTCTGCTGTAAACTGACCTGAAGAGGATTCAGTTGTTATGTTAAATGATAATCTAAACTTCTTCTTTTTTTGTTATAATTAAACGTTTTTTTCAGGTTTTACAGGGAATACAATACCTCAAAGTAACATACATATCACAACCCTCTAATTAAGCTAGAGGGAACAGATAACAAAAATACATACAACAACAAAGACAATTCAAAATAAAACTGAAAGACTAAAATAAATAAGAAACACGGCTAAAATCTAAACTTCTTTTTAATGATCTCAGTAAAGAAACTCAGAGTACAGTAACAAAGTGTAATTGAACTCTTGCTCCCTGGCATCATCAGAGATGATACATAATATAGTAGTGAAGTCATCCTCACACTCTACATGTTGGACTTTGTGTTAGGTTCAGCAAATAAAATACAAACATGTAAAACCTTTCACAAGCACAATGCTAAAACAGAAAGGCGTCTCTCTGAATGAACTAATGATGTATAAAACATGTCGTTTCCACAGACAGAGAGCAGAGTCTCCAGTCCCAAGCTGTCTGTCTCTGAAGAGTGACTGGTCTATGTTTCAACCTCCCATCTTCAGTAATGAACCTGGACCCTCAAACATAAAGTAAGAGTCTGTTTCTACTGTAAACTGACCTGAAGAGGATTCAGTTTTGATATAATCTGATCATTTAAACCAGGGGTGGGGAGCCTTCGGGCCGTATACGGTCCGCAAGACCATTTGATAACATAAAAACATTGAAAATAAAACAGAAAGATATCTGGATTAAGAGGTTGCTTTTTCTTTGAACAGCATGAAAGAAAGGCGAAATGAATGGTCTGTGATTTTAGTTTTTTTTAGCAGAGGTTGTGTTCAATAATTTGGAGGATGTTGTAAACATTTAAATGGCCCTGGACACCACCCTCTCCTTCCAGGCGCACATCAAATCTGTCACCAAATCGGCTTTCTACCACCTCAAACATTTCCAGACTCCGGCCTTCACTCTCCGACTCTGTGGCAGAAACATTAATACATGCTTTCATCACCTCCCGCCTCGACTATTGCAATGGAGTCCTGTCCGGGGTTCCCAGTAAAGCCCTGGAGAGGCTCCAATACGTCCAGAACTCTGCCACCAGGCTTCTCACCCGCACCAAGCCCTGGCAACATATCACCCCCACCCTCATCCACCTACACTTGCTGCCGGTCAAGTCCCGGATTCAGTACAAAACACTCCTCCTCACTTACAAGTCTCTCCATGCCCTCGCCCCCCAGTACTTAGCAGACCTCCTCCATCCCTACACCCCTTATCGGAGTCTGTGGTCCTCAGACACGTGCCTGCCCTCCATTCCCTGCTCTCGCCTCGTTATTGTTGTTATTGCTGTATCCTTTCCATATGTTTATTGCAATTGATTCACAGCAAATTCTATGTGAATTTTGTTTATAATGCTATAGTGCACCAGGTTAATACAAATGTCTGTGTCTTAGTAGATACAGTGACCATGTGCTCCTCTGGATGATGAATCCAGACAGGATGCTTTGTATAATATTGTGAAGCTTAAACTATCTACCTGATCGCGAATATATATTATATACAGATATAGACCTTTTTTATATTTTAAACTAGAATTGTCCACCTTGTTGTACCATTGGCAAGAATCAGCTCCTCTAAAGTAAAGTGCTATAAAGGATGTGTTCATCTCCACAGAGGGAAGAGGAAGAGTCATGCTCCTGTGGAGGAGCAGCTGTCCTGCTGTGCTCTGTGTCACGATGTCCTGAAGGATCCAGTCTCTACCAGCTGTGGACACTGGTTCTGCAGACAGTGCATCACCTCATACTGGGAGCAGCGACCTCCATCAGGAGACTCCTCCTGTCCCCAGTGTGGAGAAAGATCCAGAACTGGACTGCAGATAGCCAGTCAGACCAGCTCTGTACGAAGTAAGAGGCCGAACACATGCAGCATCTTTAAGCCGTCGAGGCGCTGGGTCTCTACTCTTGTATGAACTCTCATGGGCTCAGTGTGTCCTCTGATCTTCTAACAGGCATTGTTTTTTGAATTGTTTTAAAACAGACAGCAGTGTTTTCCTTTGTAGAAACACTGGACAGATCTTAAAGGGGACCTATCATGCTATATTGGAAAAATATATTGTAGGGCCACACCTATACAAAACATGTCTGTGAAGTTTTTTGCTTAAAATACCAAACAGATCACCCATTGTAGCCATGCCATACTGTTCATACCCCTCTATTCCAGCCCTGTTCCAAAAAGGCTGATTCTGCTTTAAATGGAACTCTGCTGCTACCCACGCCCCTTTGTAGCGTCATGCAGCTTTCCCTCTGCTGGAAAGAGTTTTCTACCGGGAGAAGCTCAGCTAAACGCTGCGGTGATTAAATGTTATATTGTGCTCCAAACCATTTCAAGCATTATTTCTGAAACAGTATGGAGCTCAAACGTTTCTCTCTCGCAGGGTTTACCGCAAGGACATCACGTTACACATATTCTCTCCAGTACAGCGTGTTGTAGCTGAGAGGTTTTTACAACCCACCATCGGCTCCGCGTGTCGTTTTGGCGAGCCTGCTTAAAATCATAAACAGGAAGGAAATCAGAAGACACCAGGATACCAGTTAAACAATAATCTGTTTTAATTATAAAAGGTAAAAATACAATGCAATACAATACAATAAGGAGTATTCCTGCCCTGGTTCGCGTGCTGTTCAGATTCCAGCAGGAGAAGAGAGAGCGATCTAAAGACACAACCTGCTTATATGCAAAAAGAACGGGGAGGAGGTGTGCTGGATTCTCCTCCCATAGAGTCCATTCATTGGTTGATATAAAAGCGACGAGCCAGCAGAGGACTCACAGAAACAAGAGTCTTTTACCATTTAAGGTAAAACAGACGCATTGGGTGTACTTTCACACACCCGCACATTTTGCAGAGACTTCCCTCTCTGTGGCCCCCCTCTCCCCTTAGTTCAATGTACACACAGTTTCACATACTTTTGTTATAGTTGACTAATACAAACAATATATGTACTACTTTAATATCAATAATAACGAGGAAAACATTACCTCTGCTCTCAAGCAGTAAAATAGTAGAATATCAGCTTCTATAGAGAACGCACACTCATTCTTCCTTAGGAGGTGTCACGCACCCTCATTTTCCCTTAGGTTGTGTCACGCACACTCATTTACCTTATTTTACCATTTAAGGTAACACAGACACATTGGGTGTCCTGCACGAACCCACATAACATATACAGAGAACGCACACTCATTTCAGAGATCTGAGCTATCTTCAAATAAGGGCATTCCCCTGCTCACATCTTACTTTAAATAATGGTTTTACTCCTCATTTTTCCAACTCCCTATTATTATTGATACAAAGTAATTAAACACACACATATATTTTAGACATGTATCGTTCTAGCTACTTGGCATTCTGTGTTTAGATAAGAATGTATCCTCTCCCCACATCTTTTTAGTCTCCTGTCATGCCAACCTGCTCCTTATTTCACATAAGTATTTAAGCCAACGACTGCACAAAGTTGTGGCAATTTAGTACTCACAACATGAAAGAATGAAACAGAAAGAAATCAATAAAAACACAAGCACCAGTATAATTGAGCAGTTATTATACAGACCATGGCTTACTGCAACACACACACACACACACACACCCTTCTATCTGCTGCCTATAGCATATGTCTATATAAGGGTATTTCCTCTCTGCACTTCTCATGACAGGAAAGTTTTCACTTCTCATCTTTCCAGCTTCTTGTTCATATAAACTGCTACTATTACATACAAAGTAATTAAGTACACACATGAATATATAAAAACACACTTCTTATATATCAGGGGACATTAAAATGAATATACCAAAAATTACACTGTATTAAACTTCCTGCTATAATATGTTAATTTAATTCTCTTCAAGCGTTAGCTCTGAGTGTTAGCTTGCTGTAAACACAGACCATATTACTCCCAAAACACACAGTGCATTGTTTCTGATACAGCACATAGCTTGACATGTTCTTTCTTAAAGAGCTTACGAAATGAAGAACAATTCTGTTCTTATTACGATAATATAAACTATTATTAATGGGAAATCATTTGTCATTAATGACAATATGCCCGCTGTATTTATAAATCTTGATTTATTACAACTATCCATGCTCGATGTTACACGACCGCTCTGAACAAAACAGCTTTCGCCGGTTGTGACGTCACACACGTCACGAGTAGAACACTTGAATAATGAACAAACTATATGGCTGATGTCGGACTCTGGCTCGGATATTTTGACAGAATCGAGTGAGAGTGAGTCGTCAATAGACTCGGTGCACTTTCAAGAAGAGGAGGATTTTATGGAAGAGGATGCCGGTGTGGTGGAATCAGATCATACGGGCGAGTCTAACGTGGTGGAACCATACTAGTTTGAGCCACAGTATTCAAGTAGCGGTAGAGATACAGACGGCAGTGAACATGGGGGTGATGATCCTGGATTTGGCGGAGATCCGGTGCGGCAACAGAACACAGACTGGTATATACATTTGACTTTAATTCATAGAGATTCTCAATAAATAGTAAATCAATAATAATAAATCGTAATGTAGCAGGTACACTTGGCTCAGGCAACAGAACAGAGACTGGTATATACATTTGACTATAATTCATAGAGATTCTCAATAAATAGCAAATAAATAATAATAACTCCACAAGTCCCCGGTTGCGTGCTTCGTTGTTGGAGTTTACCCCAGTGGACGAGAGGGTCGCCTCCCTACGCCTGCAGGTTATGGGGGGGAAAACTCTAACTGTTGTGTGTGCTTATGCACCAAACAGCAGTTCGGAGTATACGGCCTTCTTGGAGACCCTGGAAAGAATCCTGTATGGGGCTCCTGAAGGTGACTCTTTAATCTTGCTGGGAGACTTCAACGCAGATGTGGGCAATGATGGAGACACTTGGAGGGGCGTGATTGGGAGGAACGGCCCCCCTGATCTGAACCGGAGTGGTGGTTTGTTACTGGACTTCTGTGCTAGTCATGGATTGGCCATAGCAAACACCATGTACGAACATAAGGATGCTCATAAGTGTACGTGGTACAAGAGCACCCTAGGCAGAAGGTCCATGATCGATTTCATTATCGTATCATCGGACCTGAGGCCGTATGTTTTGGACACTCGGGTAAAGAGAGGCGCGGAGTTGTCAACTGATCACCATCTGGTGGTGAGTTGGGTCGAGTGGCGGGGGAAGCCTCTGGATAGACCTGGTAAGCCCAAACGTGTAGTTCGGGGGAACTGGGAACGTCTGGAGGAGGCCCAAGTTCGGGAGGCCTTCAACTCACACCTCCGGCGGAGCTTTTCGGGCATTCCTGTGGAGGTTGGGGACATTGAACCAGAGTGGTCGGTGTTCAAAGCCTCTATTGCCGAAGCGGGGAGCTGTGGTCTCAAGGTCTTAGGTGCCTCCTGAACATCAGCAGGAGAGGACTCTTTAAAGTAGAGACACTACATACTGATCGGAAACGAGGGGACGCTGGCGTGTTTTTCGCCGCTCTTCATGCCGACGCTTACTTCGTGTCTACCACTCCATACTATCAATCTATTGAATTCCAATACACAGGAGAAATATTGTTCTCCTCTGGTTTTGTGTTTCTGCCATCTCCGTTGCTCAGCCGACTATGTTTGGCTGCTGTTTAGCTCTTAGCCTCTCCCATCCTGCTATTAGCAAAACGAGCTCACCATCACGCTCTACTATCAGTGTCGTCCTCGTTCCGGAATTCTCCGACTGGGCTCCTCTCTGCCACACTCCCAGGACTATCCACGAACCCTCCCTCAGTCCGGCCATTCCAACTGGGCTGTTTTCCATCACCGCTGCTGAGGTTCGAGGTCCGGTTTCTGCAGGGCTAATGGTGCTAGCTGCTAGCTGGCTCGCTGCTCTTCTTGTGATGCTGCTCCAATACTCCTCGCTGGAACTTCGTAACTTTTCCTACCACACTATCCCCGACTGCCTTACCGTTATCAAATCCCTTGGGCTTCTGCGTCGTCCCCGCTACATACACCGGGCATCCAGATACAAGTTTTTCTACTCCGAAACTCCTATCCCCGCGGTTGTTTCTGGCAGACGGTCTGTCGCACGGCGATGTCGTCATCACAACAAACGACGTCATCCGACCAAACCTCCCGTTCGCTCTATCTACCTGAGGTCCCTGGCCTGTGCTGACAGTGTGCTGGTTTCTCCCTCCCTGTTCCCCCCAGCAGCTATGAACAACTATGTGACTTTTATGCTGCAGAATACCCGCTCCCTCAACAACAAAGCCCTACTCATCCACGACATTATCACTGACAGAAGCATTGACATCCTATGCTTAACAGAGACATGGCAAAATCAGCAGGATTTTGTGACACTCAATCAAGCTACACCCCCAGGCTATCTGTACATCCAGAAGCCCCGCTCCCTGGGTCGTGGCGGTGGATTGGCTGTTATCCACCAAGCCGGCATCCTGGTTAAAGAACTCCCAGTACCTACTACCACCTCATTGGAGTGTGTTGTCTTCAAACTGGCTGGGTCTGCTCCGCTCCAGGTTGCCCTCATTTACCGCCCACCTAAAGCTTCCACTACCTTCCTGTCTGAGCTGTCTGAGTTACTCACCTCTCTCTGCTCCATGTCTCCATCAACTCTCCTGCTCGGTGATTTTAACATCCACGTGGACTTGAGTAACTGCACATTCGCTGCTGAATTCCTCTCACTTTTGGACTGCTTCAACATCAAGCAACATGTCCAGGGCCCCACCCACATCAAAGGCCACACGCTGGATCTGGTGTGCTCTACCGGTTCCCCGCCACCCGACCTACAGCGCCTCGACCTGGCTGTATCTGACCACCACGCCATCTTCTTCACTGTTCCGGTCTCCCTGCCCAGGCAGCATCCTAAACGCAC